AAGTTATATTATATATATATATATATATATGAATGAACCAGTGTCTGTAGTATGTGTGTGAGTTACAGTGCAATTTCTCATATAATTACTGTAATTCATAACAGTCTTTATGCTTGCAGAAAAGTGAAACACACTTAAAGGATCTGTTTAAGGATACACAGTATCTCTCCTAGGGACAAATCTGCCTCATCTCTTTCTATATACTTGATCCAGGAGCTTGCAGTGAAGCTAATAATAATAATAATAATAATAATAATAATGCTTTCTTATAATGTAATGAAGGAAACCTCATGCTAAGGAAAACAGTTACACCACAGAGTGAATACAATGAGACACAGTTTCCTCTTTTCTGTATGCTGTGTTAGTTGAAATCAGGAGCCGGAAGGTATTTTGCACTGGTTATGGTTGGTCTCGATACTATTCTCAGTATTTTTGTTCTGTGTACTTTTTCTTTCAGTCAAGAGAATCCATCCCATTAAATGACTTGAAGTCAGAAGTGTCACCTCGGATTTCAGCAGAGGACCTGATTGACTTATGTGAGCTGACAGTGACAGGCCATTTCAAAACACCCACCAAGAAGACAAAGTCCAGTAAACCAAAGCTGCTGGTGGTTGACATCCGGAGCGGTGAAGAGTATCCTTTGCATCTGTGCCTTTAAAGGGTGGTGCTGCCTTCCCCACATTTCTTCCTTTCCATCCAAAGGGATTGTGGCAAAAACAGTGATTTCTGGGCTTCCTCTGAATTCAAATAACTGAATGACTTTAAAACTGGATGCTAGAAAGGTCTTACTTGGGATTTCATGAGGTAACATTGAGTAGAGTCCTAAAACTGTTTTTCCAACAACAGCATATGGTGATGTGTTTGTGGCTTGCATTTCTGTGATTTATGTGCTGTCCATGAAGGCGTGTGAATCCATAGCTCAGCAGCAAAGATAAACAGTAAGTGTATTCACGGTGTACCTCACAACCTCAACAAAATGTTTACCGTACTCAGTACTGAACTTATATTTACCATAATAATCAGAACATTCCCTTATAAAGAAAAAGTATTTTCCCTGGGTATGAAGTATTTTTCACAAAGGTTTTACTACTGAAAAAATAACTTCTAGTGATTTCGTTTAGCTTCAAAGTATTATGAGTTATAATAATATTTTAGGCTTTTGTCTGTTTTATCCTTCTGTCAGATTCTCATGTACAGTGCCTTTGATTATTCTCTAGAATACAGGTAAATGATTTCACACTTTTGATGAGCAATTCCTTTTTATACTAAAATCTTTCTTTAAAACTCAATATATAAAATATAAATGAATTTTGTTATATTTAATTTTCCTCATAAGCTGATATTGATTGCACTTAGTATAAGTTTCCAAATGCATATTTTCAATCTTGGTTTTTGAGTTGAAATTCAAACCATTCATTTACTAACTGCTTAAGCAATCCCTAAAATCCTAAATTAATCACAATATGATTTGAAAGCTCACAATTTCAAATGATACATCCTAATTTTTTTGTCAAAGTTTCTGGTTTCTGCTTGCCTGAACTTTGAAACTCCTGACTTTGGAGAGTATCAGTGTGATGTCCCTTATTGTTAGGGCTTTGGGAACACCAGAAGCTTCTTGGGCAATAAGTAGATTCCCAAAAGAGGCCGGAAATTCCAGGTGTCAGGCAGAGACCCCTCTTCTAGAAGTTCCTCTGATCTCATCCTTCACGGTTCTGAAATTCTTTTAATGTTTTTAGTTTGTCTCTTGTGCCTTTAGTCAAGTCATTATCTCAGAAACAGAAAAGTATAGCATTATAGTGCCCTATTTTAACTTTAAAGACTTACTGAAGGAATGGAAATAGTTTAAGATGCCACTCCTCTGACATTTCCCTTTGGATAATTCAATTATTTGAATTTTTTAATGTGAACAATGAGAAAGTAGCACTAAGATTTTCCAGACCTGTTGGGCTAATTTCTCTTCATCAATATGCTGTTATTTTCTGGAGAAGAACAGGAAGCAGAGAAGCTCGCCTAAACACTGCTCCAGATAGATGTGGATGAGTCAGGTAATGTAGCAGCATCTGTGTCACCCACAGTACCTGGTCTAAACCTGCAGCAGGCACCAACTTGGGTTGGATGTTTTACTATCTGTAGTTTCAGATTGAAGATGGAGATTCAGGATTCCTCTGTCTCCTTAAGAGTGAGTTAGTCCAAGACAGGGAAGACAGGAAAAGAAACTGCCCATATTTTGTCTCCCCCCACCCAGGGGCTCACTATAAATGATACAGGGAGGAACATTTCAAACCAAAGGAAAAACTCAAGATGAGAGACCCTCACATACTAGTGTGCTTAGGATTTTCAGCCAAGAGATAGCAAAGTAAGAAACGAAGTCAAGAAATTTCTGTAGTGTGGTTTTGGAGTTATTAACATGCCCTTTCTTCCCCTAATACCAATCAGTACCTCCTGAAAAATCTAAAATTACAGATCTACCCTGTTGGCTTACAAGTCTTTATGAAAGACACAGATGTACATGGTAGCAGTGATGTTTGCAGTACCAGTTGCTTTAGAAAAAGAGACTTGTAGAATGCATACATTTAAGTGAATTAACTTCCAATAACTATCACTGAGCTCTTATAAAATCAGAGTGTGGCACAGTGCTAGTCCTATGATGTAGGTTCTATTAACATCTCTATTTACTGATGAAGAAACCAACCCTTAAGGGGTTAAGCAGTTTGTCCAAGGCCATATAAGCTGCCATCGGTAGAGCTGGTCCCATGCTTCTCAACTTGGTGCTGTTTTCCAGGGATCCGTTTAGTCTGCACAGGCTGCTAACAGGAACAGACTGAGATGACGGACTTAATGCAACTGATGACTGAATGAGACATGTATTTCTTCCCCCACGCTTGCACTTGGATGCTGTGCACATTCCTTTAAATCATAGCTGTTACCTTCCGGACCCATGTGAAGAGGATCTCTTTCCACCCACTGAACAAATGGACCTGTGGTCATCTTTCTACAAGTGCAACCACAAAACCAGGCAATATTCTTTCAATTTTTGAAAAACAGTATTATAATACTTTAAGGAAGGAATCTGTTACAAAGGTCCTTTCCTTCCATAGTGACTTAATTTATAAGATGTAATCCATTCAAATTTTTTTAGACTTGCCCTAGAACTACCAAACTGAAATCATATTTTTAGTGTCTCTTTGTCCAGCAACTCTTTTCTACCAAAGTTAAATCTAGGAATTATTTTACTTTACCAGTATGTTTAAGAAGTCACTAAATATTTAATATTAGTATATTTTTTAAATTTTATTTCTTCCATACCACAAAAACAATTCTAAATATACAGTATGGCGATACCTATAATACTTTTTCTTTCTCAAGAGAAAGCTCTTTATAATATTTTCCAAATTGCTAATTATTTTAAAAACAGTATTTCCCAGTATCATTTTATTTTAATTCTAATTTACATCATCAAAGGTTTGTCTAACATAGTTGTTTGTATAGGTGAAAATATGTCTTCATCTAGATGAAAATTCTCTTTCTACATTGTGCTTCCAGGAGATTAAATATCTAAAATGAGGTTTTACCTCATCTTTTTCACCTTTGTAAAATAACTGAAAGGACTTGTGAAACAGGATGGGGAGCAATCTTAGGCAAAATACACTGATTTCTACAGAAGAATTTCAGGGACAACTTTGCCAGCCCCCAGAGCCTCTCAGACTGATAGCAGCAGGTCTGCAGTTACGGCTTGGCTTCCGCTGCTGGCGTGTGTGCAAACATCCCAGGTAGCATAAATACCTGCAAGAGATCATATTTTACCCCAGCTTGTATCGTCGGTGAGGAGAATAGGATTAGCATACCAGCAGTCTTAGAGAGTTATCCTAACCCTGATGGGGGCCAGAGACATTCGGAGTGCAGAAAGAGAGCTGAAAGACTTGAAAACAGACTTCACCACCGAACAGTAAAACACAATCTCAAAACGTTATCATGAAAAGGAACCCCAGAAGTAGTCTGAACTTGTGAAGGAGGCTTGGGGAGGCTTAGAGATTTAGTTGAACTCACTTGTTCTCTAATATAGTACGGAAATTTGGGAACAATACTTGTGTATTATAAAGAGGCAACAGAAAGTGTGTAATGGTATAAATTTTGTCATTAATGTTAGTGGTTTAAAGAATATACAAGCCAAACTGTTTTTAATAGTATGAACATTTAAGTATTAAATGTCCTGGAGTTCATATTAAGGGTGCTCTTAGTTATGTAAATGTGAGGCCAACTGATGTTATCTGTAAACAGAAATACTTTGAAGGAATGTCAATCTCATTTGCTTCAAGTGAAGGCTGAGTTTTTGCAGCTTTATTTAAAAAAACAAAACAGGTTGTACACCCAAAGCATCTGGGCATGGTGATGCCCACCTCCAGCCCCAGCACACAGGAGGCTAAGGCAGAGGAATCCCAGCTCGAGGCTGGCCTGGGCTCAGTGCCCAGTCATTAACCCACACAAAACAACATCTCGAAGTTCAGATTTTTGAAGTAAGGATCCTCAGTCTGTATTTTTATTCCATATTAGAGATTTCACTGTAATTCCTGCTGACTTTTTAATTATGTTTTCTTTTCAATTCTGAGTCATCAAAATTCCTAATTTCTTTTGAACACTGGGAGGTTAGAAATCAGTATTTAGTGGTACCACTGTTACTTTTGCCAAAACCAGACTGAAAATCGTAGTGGGCTCTGTTGGAATTACACTGTCAGGAAGCACATGATTGAGGCTAACCACCACATAAATACTCGGCCTCTATTTCCTTTGTAATCTCTAAACTGAGTACTGTGAAGCTTAGTACACAGTGGGTAAGTCCCCTTGGGTAAGACTCTCGGTACTAGAATGCGGGTAAGTATAGAACCTCTTTGAGTGTATCATTGACCCCGTTTCTGTGCTTACACAGACATGCAGTAACTTTTTTAAATGCAAAAGTGAATGCAGTGAATTTCCATCTTTGTCCTGAATAAAGGAAGCAGTGAAATGACACTCATAATCCTAACAAGAATCGCTGCATGATTATCTGCGGTGGTGCCTTGGTGTAAAAACCTGTAGATACTTATGTTCCACAGCAGGACAATGAAATAAAACCAGAGTCCCTAGAACAGTCAGTGGTCTATGGCACTCGTGTTATCTGTTTCTCTTTTAAGATAAAAGAGGTTAATGTATGAGTTGCTTTTTCTAAACTAAAACCAGTATTCAGGTTTAATTGCAGTGTTGGTGCTCTGAGATAAATAAGTGGATTTTGGGTTGCAGTTTGGGCACTTGGTCTCTGAAAGGTTCACCATCCCTGCCTTAGAGCATGGGGAAAACCTTCTTCCACCTCATTTTCTATGATACAACATTCCTTGCCAGATTTAACACAGGAATGAGCACAGTCAGTTTTGGTCATATGCAGTCACCAAATGTCAAAAATTGTCTAAATGATTCTAAGTAAGCACAAATATGCATTTGTTTTTGTTGCTTTTTTGAGCGCCTAATATGCACAATATTTTATTGTGACTCAAAATATAATCTGACCATATTAAGATATTTACAAATTGTCTTACAGTGTTTCTCACATGAAAATTTATTTTATAAGAAGTAGAAGTTAAAACTACCCAGGAACAAAAGATCCGTAAATAACCAGAATTGTCTTCTTCATTGTCGGGCTTATTTATTAAGCCAGGAGCCTGATAAGCATAAACATACTGACAGGTATCTAGGCTCATCTGCTGTGTGCCAGGAATGCAGCCACATGGAGCTCACCCACCGGCACTCCTGCTTACTCAGTGACTTCTATGCTAGGAGTTTCATGACAAAGACTGTTCTTGGATGAATGTTCTCCAGGACTTTTGGGTTGAACTAAACTAAGAATAGAGAACTGTGCTTGTTGCTGTATTGCTTTTGTTTCTGGTCTTCCAAAGTTTAGCCAAAAATAGTTTTGTGTTCTGAGTAACTTCTTCCTATTATCAAGCATTTTTAACATTTAATATGAGGGTTTTTTTTTTTTTTTTGCAAAAACCATAAAAAGCAACAGAAAGTTCTAGAGCAATAAGAAATTTATGACATTTCTAGTGACTAAAAAGTTTAGAAAAAAGTTGTCTTCAAAGGCACCTAATAAGTAGATGATACTGAATCCATAGAATCATGCAGATGCTCATGTATAACTTTTAGGTACAGCTGATATACACTGGAAATTTATATACAAATGGATATTGTTACGTTTTCTTCAGAGCAGGGGGCTTCTAATTTTCTAAAATGTCACTGGACAAATTCTATTTCAGAGGCACTAGGACTTGACTTTACACTGGAAAGCTTAACATCCTGCATCTTGCCCTTTGACGTTCAAGGGAGGGAACTGATTGGCTCAGCTTATGTCCACTGTCTGCCTTCCTGTCCCTCTCCCTGCTTTCCTGTCAGCCCTGGCTGTGGCAGGGTTATCTGATGCCAGCAGGACATCAGGCTCCCCTTCCCACAGCAGTGGTTGGGGATCTTCTAAACAAAGTGGGTGGCAGGGCACATAAACATGTCTGCCCCTGCATCTGACAGGATAGCTTTGTATTGCTTCTGCTATGAGAAAGCACTAAAAGAAAAGGTGTTCACAGCAGATAACATTCTTTGACCATCAGAGACTCCCTCTGGCAGCTGAAGATACATTTGCTGAAAACAAATGAGTTGTTAGATTCCTAGGTTGTGTTACAATTTTTAAGATACTGTCTCCACTTAAAATAAAAGTACTGAAGAAAAAAGTTTTATCAGGGTAATTATATTCTTAAAGTCTTTAGTGTTTATGAAAACTGCTCTTAAAAAATTGAATAATTATAAATGTTTATGAAACTAATGCTGAAGTCCAAGGTAATCTGCCCATGATTTAAATCTCTACCCATTCTAGAAGACTAAAAATGTCCTCAAAAATTCTAATGTTGATTCTATCTCTTTTTTCAGAACTTATTTTTGAAATTTAAAACAGTGAAGCAGCAGCTGAGTAGAAAATTTTAAATGTAATAAATGTGTTAGTCTCCACCATCTTTCTTTTTTTTTAATTATGTTTTTTTGCAGTGCTGGGAACAGAACCCAGGGCCTCACCATGTTGTCTGCCATCATTCTTGAGAGTGGGCGCCTGGAATGCGTCCTCTCTCCACTAATGAGACTCCGAGAGGGAGGGAGGTAGAAAGTAGGTATACAAACTGGCGCGATTGAGAAACTGTCACTTCAATAAACAGGATTCTCTGCCCTTTTGCAGGGGGAAATGTTGGGAGAAAATATTGCTTGTGTCATAATCTTTATTTTTAAAACGTAAGAAGCATAAAGTGAAACTATAAACATCCCTTTCGCAGTAGTCATAAGTGACTGTTAAGAAGGGAAGAGATGTCCTCTCTACTCCTGGTCAATGCCTTGCATCCACTCCTTTCCTGCACAGTGTTGCCCTAGTGCCTACCTCGTATGTTGGTCTTCTGCCTGAAACCCCTCCTGACCTTCATGGCTCTTGGAGTAGAGTCCACTATCCTCTACACTGGCACGCGTGACGGGCCCCGCAGGCCCTGCCTCTGCCTCCATTTCCGGCTGCTCTCTGAATCCTCCTGGCACTGGCCCTGTCGTTTCTCTTTAATGGCTGTGCACCTCCCTACAGTAAGCCCCAAAGTTCTGCCTTGAACTTTTATTCCCTCCACCATTCTGTCTCACTTTCATTCCATCCCTTTGCCCAGTTAACTTTTAACTTTTCAAATTTTATGGTGGCTGTTGTTAGGTAAAAGAGCCGGAAAATCCAGAACTAGACCAGAACTACAACAAGCCCTTATTACAGGGAGGATCTGCCAGGCTGTCTCCTAACAAAAGGAAAAGCAGCATGGAGGATCAGGGAGCTTGTTTTATAGGAGTGGGGTGGGGTTAACCTGAGCGGGGGTGGAGTTGAGTGAGGTGGCACTAAGAGATTGGAGGAGCCTATGACATCACTAGGAGGGGCTTGTGACATCACTACTTTATTTAAAGTTAATATTTTAGAAGCCCTTTCTCTGGATTCTATGTAATCATTTTTTAAATTTCCAAACCTTCTATTTTCATTCATTCAATTGTACTTTTGTTTTCAGTACTGGAGGTTGAACCCAGGGCCTTGCACATCCTAGGCAGGTGTTTTACCGCTGAAATAGATACATCCCCACCCTTTTTATTTTGCAACAGGGTCTTGCTGAGTTGCCCAGGCTGACCTCAAGCTCGCAAAACTCTTACTTCAGCCTCTCAAGTAGCTGGAATTTTAGGCATGTGCCACCACTCCTGGATCACTCCTGGATTAATTATTGAAGCATAGTTCTTTTCTTTAAGTTATGACATTTCTAAATATTTTAAGTAAATGGATGCCTGTAACACGTTCACACTGGTGCCGTAGTTGGTATGACTAGCTGCCAGGCAGCTCTGAACTATCAGTGGTACATACGTTACTGTTCCATCTGGAAGTTTGTACCACCTGATGGGACTGTCCCATGCTGCCCAATGGGACAGTCGGGACATGTCCCAGTGGTACAAGCCACCGGGAAAGTGTGGCTTCCTAAATTAAAATTAATAGTACAGACAGCATAAAATTAGAAGTAATGGAAATGTGAGCTAAGTTTACTTGAGAAAGTACCTGACAACAGAAGTGTCCAGCTAGTGCCCGTAGCATGTACCATTCTAAGTAGAGTGCATTTAGCAACCACATGAGCAACATGAACGGGCCTCACAGTATCAAACTAGACCTGAGATTATCCGCAGGCTGGTGTCACTTTCAGTACTTTACTCCCAGTTGGAGCCATGAGCCGAAAGGCATGAATACCATGTGACCCCCATGATCGCTGTCCTCTGGTGCATCAGGAGTACTTTCCTAATTCTTTTTTGGTGGTTTGTTTTTTTTGGTACAGGGTATTGAACTCTGGCCCTTTCAAGGCAGGCGGCAGAACCACTGAGCCAAATCCCCAGCCTCCTAATTCTTCATTCAGTGGTGAGTGGCATCTTTGCCTCTCTGGTTGCTCTTGTTCCTTTCTCCTCCACCCCGACCCCAAGGACCGTAGCTTGTCAAGATAAAGAACTCGGGTGAGCATGGAGATGTTCGCCTTACCCTCTGGGTATCAGTTACCTCTGTTTCTGTCACATTCACATCTGCACCAAAAAGAAGGCCGAAGTTTTCCTTAACCTAGCTTCTCTTCTCAGCTTTACCCGGGGCCACATTTCTGGCAGCATCAACATCCCATTCAGCACAGCCTTCACTGCGGAAGGTGAGCTCGCCCAGGGCCCTTCCACCACGATGCTCCAGAGCCTCAAGGGGAAGGTCATCGTCGTCGTGGGAAGCGTGGTGAAGCACATGGCCGAGGTAAGCATTGGCACGCGTGACAGGCCCTCACCTGCCCACCGTTGGGGCTTTCCAGGAGCAGCTTTCTTCAGGCCCTGGTCATAAATTAATTGGGCTTAGCAGATCTGTCTGTATGCTTCCAAAGAAGCATTTGTCTGTCTTTCATTGAAGCCTTTTCCCCTCAGTTTTTAGTTTCCAGGGTCAGTACTAAGCTTAGGAAAATCCAAATGTCATCTGCTCTGGTTTGGGTGGTGTTTACAAAGCTTTGTGCCTGGAAGCTTGGTGTGGGCTGACTTGAAAGGTTGGGTCTTTGAGAGGCGTGGCTTCTACTAGGTCCTTAGGTCGCTGAGTATGCGCCCTCACAAGGGACTGCAGAGCCCCTCCTTCCCACTTCCTGACTGAGATGTGTCCTCTACCTCCCTGTGCATTGCTGCTGTCCAACGTGGGGCCCTCACCAGATTGGCCCCCAGAGCTGTGCACTGATTCAACCTCTCTTCTGTATAAAGTCAGCCTGTAACACATTCACGTGACAATGGGTGGGAGGGTCAGAGTGCTCTCCGAAATTGCAGATAGTGTTAGAACAAAATACAGTGGACACTTGAGTTATAACTACCCTGACGTGACCACCTTGGATTATGACCAGAAATTAAGTTCTGACTTATGACTGAACTCTTGAGCTATAAACCACATGCCAGCCGCTTGTGCTTCCAGATGATCTCAGGCACAGATTGAACCCTTACAGAATTCTGGAAGGAGCATGACAGCATCCTGTCCTGTGTGGGGTTCACTGAGAAATCCTGGGCCAGTGTCTCTCTAAGGACACCGAGATCCGCCTGTGTGCAGGAGAGAGACTCTGAAGGCTGTGGAGAGGAGCCTGAGCCTTCACTGACCAACTTGAGTTACAGCCAGCCCTCAGAAGGAATTGAGTTTGTAAGTCAAGGCTACCAAGGGAAGAATATAGGCTGTGAAAGCTGGTCAGGTGGACTTTGTAGAATTTGAAACTTTTGTTTATTAGAGGCTCAACACTTTGACTAAAGAAAGTCTGACAGGATATCACCTTTCAGGTATAAAGATGCATGAAACAGTCAAATGCCCTCCTCTCTATCTGGTATTCCAAGCAGGTTAAAAAATAAAACAGAGGCCCAAAATGCAACCTTTTTAATAAAGGACAAGTTGAAGACCAGAATTTAACATGAAAACAAAACAGACCAAGACAAAACAAAACAAACCTAGATGTGCACAGAGACATCTAGAGGGAAGTGGTGTTGGACCAGTACAGGCCTTTCTTTCAAGAAGGGAGGACAAAGCTACACCTTGCCAAACTCACTCATGAGTCCCTCTGCTTCCCAGGGCAGAGTGACTAAAAGGGCACGGAAGGTTAGAAATGAGCTCAGGAAAGTTGCCTTGCCACGATTAGGAGTGGAGATGAACATTCCCCTCCAATACATGTGTTTCCTTATGTCTGCCGGAATGGAGCAAACGGTGTATGTGACTGCTAAAGATGCAGTCAGACGAGGACTTCAAAACTTTTTGGCATAGGCTATTTTAAGTGTCCAAAAATCTTTGTTTCAGAAGAGCAGGGCTAATGGTAGCATTGGCTTTGGACGTTAAAGGAAGATCAGTCTTGATGATGCAGCTTGACTGATCATATTAAGGAAGTATCTGAATATTAATTATAAAGCACTCACTGCTCTTATGTAATCATGAGCCATCTAAATACCTGTTTCAGTCAGTATAGTGCGTGATAACATTTTATCGTTATGGTATCTATGTTATTTTGATGTATGTTAAATTACTATCATTTTACTACTACCACTATGTTACTGCTGGTGCTCTAGTCTATATTGCCATGGTCTAGTCTCCTATCCAATGAGAAATGTCTGTTTTCAGTGAGAGTACATATCAATATTTTCCACAGAAATACTATGAAAATTACATGTTTTTAGGTTTCCAGTAATATGCAGCCTTAGAAATCTTAGCTATCATAGTCCCAATTATGGATTAGTCTTTACACACCAGGCACTGTGGTATACTATATGTACATTATCTCATTTTATTCTTCATAATAATTCCATGAGGGAGAAATCATTCTACACGTCTTACAGCCCTAAATTTGAAGCTAAAAAGAGAAAAACAGTCCAAATCCAGAGTTTATCTAACTTGCCTGTGTTTGAGCCAAGGTTGAAATGTGCATCTGTATGACCCAACAGGCCATCCATCCTCTTAACTTGATGAGCACCTGAGGCCTCTGAGTCTGAATGCTGCCATTTCTCCTGTTTTGTTTTTTGTTTGTTTAAAATGTATTCTGACTTGATAGAACACAATAGTTTTTCCCATAATAAAAAAGCAGGATAGGGCCAGGGATTTAGCTCACTGGTTCTGCTGCCTGCCTCCTAAGTAAAAGGTCCTGAGCTTAATCCCCGGTACCAAAAAAAAAAGAGCAGGACCTAAACCTGCTTAGGAGAAGGAGAATGGATTAAATTCAGGTCTTAGACTTGAAACCTAGGACCGAGCCCACGACCTCTACCACAAGACCAGTACCTGCAGATGGCACCACTGGATCTGAACTAGGCCAAGCAGCTGACAGCTTCCATTATTCCTCCCATGACCAAGGAGCAAGACTGCACTCACTGGAGGCATGAAAGCTACACAGAGCTTTGTCCTGGAGCTCAGTGCCCAGCCCTGCACAGTGAGACACAGCATCTGTGAAACGAAGGCCCCTACATAGGTCACTGGTCATAGAGATCCCAGACTGGGTGTGGCATCGGGCAGAGACCCGTGTGCCAGCAGGACAGACTTGAAATGCAGCCTGCATTATTTCCATCCTTGGAGAGGGCTCAGGACACACTCCTCCAAGACAGTGCAGGCCCCTGCAGCTCTTAAATGTGACTCAGTGTAGTATCAGCACGGTGTCCAAGGCATCATCTCCACCACCTACTCCAGGCAACACAGCAGGTCAGTGCTCACAAGCAGGGCTCTACGAATGTCCCAGCACCGGGCAGAAACGTATGCCCCAGTGGAATGAACTTGCACGTCAGCCTGCATGACTGTGAGCTATGGCCTGGGCTTCCATGCGCCCCTGAGACAGACTCAGGCATAACCGAGCATCGGCCCAGGCTGCCATGTGATTGTCTTCATCAGTACCACTTCCAACCCAGTCAGCACAGCAGGGTGCAAGGCCTCACTCACTGGGGGCAGGATGGGATAATATACAACTCCAACTCTGCCTGAGACTTAGTGCTGTGTATGAAACCTAACGCTAGGCAGAATCTAAAGGCCCCAGCCCCAGAATTGCCACAGATGGGAGCTTCTGAAGAGCTCCGGTGTCCAGAGAAGGTGTGCAGCCCCAGTCACTGAAGTCTCAGCTAGCATCACCTGTGCCAACTGCAGTGGTCTTCGGCCATGGATGCACTTCAGCAACTGGTAACCCATAGTAGTACGGGCCTGTGCCCCACCCCTCTCAGTACTGTGCTGGTCTTAGCAAGCTGGGACACAAGGGGCCACAGTCGTGACAGGAACCTGCGACTGGTCCCTTCATATCAGCCCTGCCTAGAGCTGGTCATAAGCCATAATTACTAATGAGGCATCTGGATGTACTCCAGACCTAGGGAGAAGTCTGTGGGAACAGACTGCACTTTCTTGGTGCTCTCCTGGTTTGTTCTGAAACAGTACACCAACCTGAAGTTGACTTCCCTTTAATCAACATACAAATAGACAGCCAGCAAATCTGGACCTGACCACCACCCAGTGCTGAAAGAGTGGCAGTGCATACAGGTTCACTAAAATAAGTATCTTGCTTAGAACTTCTGGAAACTAAGGCATAAACAACCCAGATTTAGAAGACTGGACTAAAAAGCTAATCTTTTAATGCCAAGAAGATGCTAGATACCATCAAACATTAAGAGCTTTGAGAAAACCGTGACCTCACTTAATACTCTAGGTGCCAGAAACTGACCAGATAGTAATCAGTATGAGAATATTGAAAACTGCTGATTTAGAACATCAGTAGCAGGACAGATCAAGCAGAAGAAAGAATTTGTGAGCTCAGACATAGACTATTTGAAAATACCCAGCCAGAAGAGAAAAAAAAAAGTGAAAAGGAATGAAGAAAGCTTACAGAAAGTTTGGGACAGTTTTAAAAGAGCAAATATTCAGGTTATTGGGGTTCAGGAAAAAATTGACAATGCCATAGCTTACTCAAAGAAATAACAAAATTTTCCCAACCCAAGGATACAAATATCCAAGTACAAGAAAGTCAGAGGTAAAGAATCAAATGTAATTCAACAAAGATATGCCCCAAGACATAGTCAAGTTCTCACAGGTGAAAGAGGAAGATTAAAAGAAACAAACAACACATGCACATACAGCAATTTGGCCGACAGCCAACTTGTCAGCAGGAGAGACTGGCATGAGATTCTCACAGTATTAAAGGAATATGCTACCAATCAAGAATACTGTATCTGCGGGGCGTGGTGGCACACATCTGTGATCCTAGCACTTGGGAGGCTGAGGCAGGAGGATCACTGTGAGTTCAAGACCAGCCTGGGCTACATAGTGAGTTCCAGGTCAGTCTCAGTTATACAGTGAGACCCTGTCTCAAAAAACCAGAAAAAAAAATAATAATACTTTTTCCAGCAAAGCTGTCCTTTACCAATGAAGGAAAAATAGACATTTTCAAGCAAACAAAAGATGAGAGAATTTATCCTCTACAAGAATTGCTGATGTAAGTTATTCCAACTGAGAAAAAAGATGTTAATGAGTACAAAGAAAACACGGGTGAATGCACTGCTTTCTCATGTATGGCAGCGCCAATGTCATCCGTCTGACGTATAAACTAGGACAGGAGTGTCTTTAATACAGATATGAAGGACATACCACAGAATGACCAAATGAATTCAATATGTGGTCTAAACTCATGTAAGAAAACAACAGATCTGAGAAATATGACTTATTCAGGTGCCTAATTATAATCAGAAATGACCCCATTTTAATTATGTATTCAATTCTTTCTTGTACCTATA